TGATAATCGGCAACGTATGTTCAAACATTTATGAATGATTTAAAGAATCTACTTTATTATTTGTTTGAAGCAGTTTATATCACTCATAACAAAATTAAGTAATAATAACTTATTTATTAGATATCTAGCATTTGGAAATGCAGGATATATATAGAAAGTTTTTTATTCTCATCTTTAATTAGATTTGTAATTGATGAGAAAATATTTATTTTTATATTTATACAAACGACGCTTGTGACGCCAACGCGAACAAATATCCTTTCGCAGAAGTCACTGAATCGAGATTATTAAATGAGAAAAAAACTGAAGGATGATTGAATTTTAAATTGAAATTGTCAAACGAAAGTAATACAATGGCGGCCCGGTCGGTTAGATCAAAATGGCGGTTGGAAACTGAGTAATTGTATTTTCGCGAAAGCGCGACAATGCTTCTTAATAAATATTCACAAAAGTGTAAAATACAATAGGGTGCGAATAATTAATACTGTTTGAATATTCGCAACCCAATTCTGTTAGGCGGAATATCTGACTTGTTTATCACAAGCTTTGCCAAAAACTTTTGTTTCTTTATAATAAAAAACTTGTAAAAGGTCCCAGCATCACTTAAATTATATTTTAACAAAGAATTTAGTTTGTTAAAATTAATTTAATTCATATATGTATAAATATATAGTAAATTAGGGCACAAAGGTCCAATTCGACTTTGAGCAATTGGAAAACGAAACCAAATATGTCACAACAAATAGCACATATCATACAAACAACTATCAAACTATGATCAGTAAAACTCTCAGCTAAGGGGACGTCCATTAATCACGCGGGTTTTTTAGGGGGAGGGTAGGTTTGACAAAAAATCACGAAATATCACGTGGGGAGGGAGGAGTATGAGATATGACGTGTATTTATTTTATAACTGATTTTTTTTATATTCAAACATTTTCAATTCAAATTCAAATGTTTGTAGGAGGAGGGAGGGGTTATTTTTGAATATTACCATGTATCACTAAGGGGGTCCAAAAGTCCTTAAAAACTCGCTCACGTTATTAATGGACGCCTCCTAATTCACTATAGTATTTCCTGGATGCATTTTTTACAAGGATGACACTGTATATAATCTTGATCAGGTAATTCGTCAGAAAAATTCATCATTAGACTTGGAATAACTATTTATTCAATTTATATCTTGTAAAATTGCTATTTGTGACCTACTGCGAAATTAGTATACTTAGAAATTATGTTAAGGTTTTGTAAACTAAAGAACAGTGCTCATTACCCGAAAAACTAACCACGAAAAAAATAGTTTTGCTATAGATTTTCAAACCTTGCCGAAGGGTTGTAGTTTTGGTTGATTAAAAAATATGCATTATATATATATATATATATATATACATACATATTTGGCCATTCCCAATTTCTTTTTACCGAATATCGCAAATTCGTAAAACTGAATATTGTGAAGGGGTTATAATATTACTAAAAATTAACATTTTAATAATTACATTTATAATTAAATAATTTGTAGTTAGAGACAATCTAGGTATCTTCTAAATATTTTTTTTTGCTTTTTATATGTATTTTTTATACTATTTTATAGCATGTGTGTATGCATGTATTTTTTATACTTTAGTATAGAATTCTAATAGTTCATCAGTCGCTAATAAATAGAATCAGAATTTCATTTAAATTAATAAAGGTATTCTGATAAATAATTTTCGAAATAACATATTTTTGTATAATAAATATCACTGCATAGCACAATTCTAAAAAAATTAATACAATACATTTATATTTTTGATTAAAAACTATTTTATTTTTTTCTATCTGTATTAAATTTTTATCACAATAGGTTAACTAAATTTTCTTAGTATGTGTTTTTTATAAATTAAGTTATAAATATTAAAACTAACATGTGTTTATGCAATCTGCCAAGAATATGATTTTTGTAATAAAATCGTGAACTTCTATAATCTATAATAAAATAATGCAAATCAATATTGCAAAAACTGTATTATAAAAGGCTAAAAAAATAAAATATTATTATTGTATATCGTTTAATATAGCTTATATATTAAATTATTTATTATTTTAATTATTGCCAAATTGAATGGATGCCCGAGGTGAATGAAAATATATTTTCATTATGAAATTTGCGACTTTCCTCCCTACCAGTTAATTTCTGCCTTTGATCTTTGGTAACTGCGTTCCTTCGTGTGTTCATACTCATTAATAAAGCAAACCGTCTTGAAAGGAATAATATAGAATTTCAGAAATTTTTATGAGAGAACATGCTGAAATTCTAATTAAAATATGTTCGAATTAGAATTTCAAACGTCCGTCAAAAACACCGGCAGATTACGATTTCGTTTACAGAGAAAATGGACCGTTTTTTAGAAAATTGACGTTAAAAGAAATCATCACGTTTTTTCAATTAACTGCAGTTTTGATGTAACTGAAAATATGTAGGATAATTCTTTTCAAATCCATCAATCATGACAAGAATTATTGCAAATACAAATTAGCGCTTTGCCATTTTTGGGACATTTTTATTATATATTTTTTTTAAATTCTCAACAAATCCTTCAAATAATAATAATCTAATAAGTTCTAAATTCTCTAATGAACTACTGCTAAAAACTGCTTTTTATAGAAGAATATTATAGTTCAATTACCAATAATGACCGTCAATAAAATCACAAGTAATTTATTTCTAGGAAACAATTAATTACACTGAGAACAATTAAATCTAAGTATAATGATGAGAAAAGATTTTTTTCTTTTCTGATGCAATTATCAGAACAGTTCATTTAGCTCTCTATCTAAGATGGCAACAAGAAATGATTTGCAAATATACATAGAGATTGTTGACTTGGAAGATTTTTTATAGTATAGTTGCAGTTCTAATAGATGATTGTAAACTGAGTGATAAAATATTTTTATACATGTTTTATGATTTAGGCTACTTTTTCAAAACTATTTTGTGTAATAAATTTGTTTACATTTTGTCAAACGAATTTTTTTATATTACTATATATCTTGAGGTTTTTGTGTTCGACTGCAAAACATACTATTTGAAATAATTGGTGCGTCAAAATTAAATATAATATTTATTTTAAAATGTACGTTCTGAGTTTTAGTAATAAGTATAAAAATACTTAATAACACAATTTCAATCAAAATATGCATATAAACCAGGAAACAATTCTAATATATTCATATTGAAAATACAACAAATTCAGTTTTTTTTACAAACAAAAATGTATAAGATAGATCGGGGCATAAAAGTCTAATTTGAGTTTGAGCAATTAAGAAAACTAAACCAATTATATCACAGCAAAAGACACATATCAAACAAACAACTATCTGACGATGTTCAGTGAAACTCCCAGCTGATTCATCATTGAAGAAATGTGTTCAATTAGTTACCTGTTTTTTTTTACCCCATAAGGGGAGTAAAATGGGACGAGCAGGGGCAGCCTGGCAGCTGAAATATCTGTCTTGTCTATAAAAATATTTTCCATTCTGGTAATAATTTCAATAGTATATAGTAACCTCGAAAACCTCGAATAATACAAAATACTTCAATAAATAACTTACGTTTCTTACACAGCACAGATTTTTCATTTGTTTTATTATTTACACAATAATTATTTATGGCGGATAGGATAAATTCTTTTTTGGATCCAGACATTTTTTATTAACTCAAGATTTGTACTACTATTCAACCTTAGAATGTAATGACATGAAACACCGAAAAATGAACAATGTGCTTCACGCTTTCGGTGATGTGCGCACGTACAAAGTCACGCATGCAAAGAAGCCTCGTACATGATACGACGACGAATCACAATCGACCCATGTAGAAACGATATCATCGAGAGTGAATGACGAATCATTGGCACTCGACTCGGCCGTAACGCACTTCTGTTCCATTTGTATGGATTTACACCCTAGTCGCGTCTAAAGAAGTTTTACTTCAAGTTCGAGCAATTGGCTTTAAGGCACACCACTAGCCTGAAATATTTTTATAAATTTCAAATATGAACAACAACAACTCATTATCTCGAGGTTGCTTAAATTTTCACCCTCCTCGAATAACAGTCGTGAAATCAGCTCACGCTTCCAGAGTCGTACGTGAGCCAGTTATAGGTTTGCAAGTTGCGCTTTGCGTAGGACGCACACACATGATTTATAACAAGGTGTTTTCACGGCGATAATAAAAGTAATGGAATTATATATCAGATGGTGAAGAAAAAAGACTTTTTTGCCTTATACCATATTTCATTATTCGGAGAACCGGATGGATAATATTAACCTACGCCAATACAATAATAATGCCTTATCAGCGATATTCCTAAGGAAATGGGATATAAGGATACATATTTATATAAACCTCATTTTGTTCCAGATTACAATCTCATCCTTTTTTATGCGGTAATAAAACATATATACCATTGTGAAATTTGTAGTAAATTGTGAGTCTAAATTATTCGTGATCAATTTGACCACCGATGAATTGAAGAAAAAACTTATTTTTGTTATGTCATATAGAGTAACTTGCTAAAAACTTTGCTCATATAACGAAATAGAAAGTAGTGCTTTGGTTATATAACAAAACAAAAATTAAACTTTTCCAGATGAATTTTTTTTCAAACTTTGGAAAAATTGGATTTTTGTGAAAATTGACATTTTTGAAAAAAATGTTTTTTTATATTTTGAAATATCAGGCCAGTTTTGAACTTTTTTATCGAAACATCTTTATCATCAAAATCTTTATAAAATATGTGATAATTTGATGTGCATATGTCTAATGATCATTTTTGACCGCCAGATGGCTCCGTAACCGCTAGACCTGCCTTCCCAAAATTGATAAATAAATTAATCAGTTTTTTGTTTTGCCAATACAAGTGAAATGTTTTTTGAATTATTAAAAACGAACGCTCCGTTCTCTTAAAAATTGAGTTACCATTTTTGGCATTTTTTACCCTGTATCTTCTAGACCTGCTTTGTCCAAAAACTGATCAGCAGTTTTTTTTATCGAAATATCTTTATTAATAAAATCTCTATAAAATATGGTACAATTTGATGTTCATATATCTAATGGTAATTTTTCACCGCCAAATGGCATTTTACTCGATCTCCGGAACCGCTAGACCTGTCTTCTCAAAATTAATAATTAAATTAATCAGTTTTTTATATTGTCAATACAAGTTAAATGTTTTTTGAATTATTAAAATCAGACGTAGCGTTCTCTTGAGAATTGAGTTTTTGCACTTTTTGCCCCGTGATTGACTAGACCTGCTTTGTCCAAAAACTAATTAACAGGTCTCAATAGGAATGAATATTTTTTGAATCACTCAAATGAGCTAAACCGTGTTCCCGAAATCGACGACGAAAATTTGTATCCAAACACACACACACACATCCATTTTTTTAAGGTATGCCAAAATGTTGAAATACTTCTGAAACGTAAATATTTATAAAAAAAATTGATTTTTTGCGATTTTTTACGATTACTATAACTTACCCTATAGGAAATTAATAATTCCAATTACAAACTACTTGTTTTTAGATGTAAAATTTAAGTACATTTTGATTTAAATGCAGTGTTGTTTCAGAAAACTGTATATTAATTATAATGTTATTCGTTGTTGTTTGTAAATTATTGCATACAATTTGACCTCTATAACAATCCTTTTGAGTAATTATATTTACCAGAAGCTCATTGAGGTCAACACAGTTGAACTAAATTATATCTTTATATTTTGCTCATTCTTAAGCTTTTTATTTTAAATGTGGAAAGCAATTGTAGAACAGTTCTGGTTCTATTTTATTTTTATTCTCTTAAAAACAGCATTAAGGATAAATTTTGCTTCATAATTTATATTTAATAGTTGTTTGTTTTTGCTTCAACAATGGAAAAATTTATACAAGTTTTTTATTTTATTTATAATGCTGATATCAGTATACTCAATCATATTATCAAATAAAATTACTCGCATGTGTGCACAGATAACTAATTACTGAAAATGTTTAAACACAAACCATTTTTAATGTTCAACTTTTAATATAATAATGTTATTGATACTTTTGTCAAAAATAACATTTTACTGAAAATAAACATTCGATTGCATTCAATTCATTCATTCAATATTGTAAAATAAATATTTGCGACATGAACAAAATACCGAACAAAACAATCAATTTTTGAACAGAAAATTGAGTGCATATGCACAGGAATACAATTATTCTGTAATATGATTTATGTTTGTATTTGATGTAGGAATGCATTTCAATTTCGATTGCATTACAGCGAATGAAGTTGTATTGTATTATTGTGATAATGAGTTCTATAGTTTACTTAATTACGGTAGTTCAAAGAATTTGTCGGGAATTATGTGAGCATGATTTTCATTTCATAGTATAGCAGTGTATTAAATATAAATTGCGTTGCCATAATTATAATTATTAGTAATAGTAACAAGTTTCGTACCAAATTAATTTTAATAAATTTTGACATCATAGCGGATTGGTAACATCATAAAATTTGAACTTCCTACATGAAAGTGTAGAATTATCATTATTATTTTTGTTTAAATTCTGCAGAATTAATCAATATAGAGCGCCAGATTTAAAGAAAAATAATGGAAACAATTATCTAGAAAACGGTTTGCTGTTTACTTAAATATTTGTCTCAATTTATTATTTTCAATTTAAACATGTAGTATTATAGAGCTTTCAAAAAAATACTGCAATTTGTAAAATACTAAGTCAAAATTAGCATAACCCCAGTTAATAACAATGTAATATAATATTATGTGTATATATTATATACGCAGTAGTGCAAGGCAAAAGTCTAGTTTAATTTTAAGTAGCAACACATAACACATATCAAAAAAATAACTATCGAATGATGTTTAATAAAATTTTTAGTTAATTCCTAATTGTAAAAAAAGTGTTATTTTACTATTTTTTTATTACGAGTCTCATTATTAATTCTGAAGGATTTTAGAAAATAATATTCATGATAATATCATGATAGATCACTCATTTTACACGCAGAAGTACTCATTTTAAAGCTTATCAAACCCCATTTTCATATCTAACCTAATATTGTTCCTAGAACGCTTTACAAAACACCGATTGATTAAGATTTTATTTGATATAATTTTGTTCATTACATGATTTTTGTTAAAATATACATTTTTAGAAATATTTGCAAAAAACGATGAAAAACGCCAAAAAAAAAATTCTGTAGGCAGTAACTTGAAAAATAATTTTTTTTTGGAAAACATTATTAAACATTTTTCTCTTCTAATTAGTGCTTTTATCGATATCCGATGATATTTTGAAAAAAGTAAAACTACACCACTGAAAAGAAATGTCAAACACACCCCCCCCCCCGGGAAGTGGCAAAGGAGTCTAAATTATTTTTACTTTTAAACTTGAGAGTAAGATGAACCTAATTCCATGCAAATTGGAGCACATTAAAAATATTCAGACTCAAAATTCTCCATTAACTATCCAAATATTTCGTATCCAATGTCATCCATATGAATTTTTGACACAATGAAACTTCTAGATAATTTTTTGAGAAAGTAAATTATTTTTGTATTGTGATTTAGTAAAGTAAGGCAAAACACGACTGCATTTAATAATAATCTGTCAAATTGAATTATAGGCTAAGTTTGATGTGTAATCACTGACAGACGCTTGCGCAGACTGCATCACCTGTCAGGCGCATGTTAACTGTAAATCTTATATTATTTTAATTTTTGGCATATCTCAGCTGCTTTTCGGCAATAATAATGTAGACATTACATTTTCCTTATTTATAATCATTGATTATATTTTAATATTAGTCTATAAGTGAATAGAAATGTTTGGCAAATGACAGTCTTCATTTGTTTTTAATGTCAAACTATGTCTTAAATATTTTCAAGGTCAAACAATGATAAGTGGTTGTTTGTAATTTTTTCTACTTTTTTCTTCAATCTAACTATATTTCTATGAATCAAAAAATCCTAGAAAATTCCCTTAACAATCTTCACGAGGATTTATTAAAATCCGAATAATAGTTTAAGAGGATTAACCATTCATACATTGTTACAGAAGAATTTTATATACTAGTTATATGTGTATTTATATAGATTTTAGAAACATGAAAAAAAACAATATCGGCTAAGTACTATTTGGAAATGATTCTTTGTAATTATCAAGAAAGTAATTCAGTAACCTTATATTTTCTTTTCCAGGTCGTAAAAATGATGATGGTTGTCGTGATAATATTTGCTGTATGTTGGCTTCCATTCCACATATATTTCTTGCTAACATCACAGTATCCGGAGATCACTAACGAACCTTACATCCGCGAGGTGTACCTCGGCATCTACTGGCTGGCCATGAGCAATTCCATGTACAATCCCATCATATATTGTTGGATGAATTCCAGGTAAGCACGTGCACTTTACAGGATCGTGTATTTGTTTTATAACATGAACTAATTAAAACTGCGTTCGTCAAAATAAAACTAAACTGTAATAGAATCCTGTGTTACGTTTTTATGTTTTCTGTCATCTACAGTAGTCTAATTTTATCAACGAAAAGGAAAAATATTAACAGCTGACTCTCATTAGAAGTTTGACGTGACAATTTTCTACGACTCGAAACTAGACTTTTTTGTCAAAAAGATATATTTATAATAAACCATCAATTATATTAAACGTTATGGAAAAAATGTTTTTATTTATTGGATTTGCGGATAATAATCCACCCTATAATAAAACCATTTACAAATACCTACTATTTTTATAACTGCCTGAATCTGTGATCAATAGTTATTTAAAGTTCTTCTCCAATTGGAGATTCACACGTAATTTCTAGTTATTTTATCCGACTGACTGAGTATCTAATCAGTAGATATGTTATTCAGAGGTCTTCTCAAATTGGGGATTCATACGGACTTTCTATTTTTTTTGGTCTGACTGAGTCTGTGATCAATAGTTATGTCATTTGGAGGTTTTCGCCGATTGAAGATCCACCCGTACTTTCTATTTTTTTATCTGTCTGGGTCTGTGGCGAGTAGTTATGTCATTTAGAGGTCTTCTCCAATTTGAGCCCCTGTAGATATTAATATTTGCTAGTAAAGACAATAATTTGTTGAAATCTCAAAAGTGAAGATGCTCCTGTAGGTAATAATTTTTGCTAGTAAAGACAATAATCTGTAAATTTCTCAAATGAAGAGATAATAATCTTTGCTAGTAAAGACAATAATCTGTAGATATTTCGAATGAATAGATGTTCCAATAGATATTAATCTGCGGTAGTAAAGATAATAATCCGTAGATATCTCAAATGAAGAAATATTAATCCTGATCCTGTAAATAATAATCTTTGCTAGCAAAAGGAAATAATCTGCAGATATCTTCAATAAGGAGATGATTCTGCAGATATTAATTGACGCTAATGAAGACAATAATCTGTACCTATCTCGAATGAATAGATGCTCCAATAATTATAAATCTGCGGTAATAAAGATAATAATCTGTAGATGAGAGAGAAGATGTTCCCGTAAATGTTAATCAACGCTGGTAAAGATCACAATCTGTAGATATCTCAAATGAAGAGATGTTCCTATAAATATTAATCTTTGCTAGTTAAGACAGCAATATGTAGATTTCTCCAATGAGGAGATGTTTCTGTAGATATTAATCTTCGCTAGTAAAGACAATTGTCTGTAGATATTTTCAATGAGGAGATGCTTCTATAGATATTAATATTTGCTAGTAAAGACAATAATCTGTAGATATCTTCAATGAGGAGATGCTCCTACAGATATTAATCTTTGCTAGTAAAGACAACAATTTGTAGATATCTCAAATGAGGAGAAGTCCCTGTAGATAATAATCTTTTCTAGTAAATACAACAATCTGTAGATATCTCAAATGAAGAGATGCTCCTGTAGATATTAATCTTCGCTAGAAAAGACAAACAACCTGTAGATATCTCAAATGAAGAGATGTTCCTGTAGATATTAATCTTCGCTAGTAAAGACAATCTGTAGATATCTCAAACGAAGAGATGTCTCTGTAGATATTAATATTCGCTAGTAAAGGCAACAATCTATAGATATCTCCAATGAGGAGATGTTTAAGTAGATATTAATCTTTGCTAGTAAAGGCAATAATCTGTAGATATATCCATTGTATAGATGCTCTAATAGATATTAGTCTGCGGTAGTAAAGATAATAATCTGTTGATAGTTTCCAATAAGGAAAACATCCTCTAGATAATAATCTTTGCTAGTGAAGACAACAATCTGTAGATATCACAAATGAAAAGATGTCTCTATACTTCCTATAGATATTAATCTGCACTAGTGAAGACAATAATTTGTAAATATCTCCAATAAAAAGATGTTCCTGTAGATATTAATCTTTGCTAGTGAAGACAACAATCTGTAGATATCACAAATGAAAAGATGTCCCTATACTTCCTATAGATATTAATCTGCACTAGTAAAGACAATAATTTGTAGATATCTCAAATGAGGAGATGTTCCTATAAATGCAATATGTTTTTGCAAGTAAAGGCAATAATCTGTAGATGTCTCAAATGAAGAGATGTTTCTGTAGATATTAATTTTTGCTAGTGAAGACAATAATCTGTAGATATCTCCAATGATGAGATACTTCCGATGCAAAAATATCCTTATAGATAATAATCTGAGTTGTACAAACAATAATCAAATAATTTGTTTCTTGGCAAATTTCTCATAGAAATATGAAGTTTTTGGGTGATGGTATAGTTCCATATAATATAAGTCGCTCCTGCTTCGCATGGCGTAGGTATTTATTTTATATTTCTGAAATTTATATTAGCGACTTCTTTCAATTAACGTCGTTTTAACATGACCTTCAGGTAAGCCATAAAAATTACCGACAGCATGAACAGCTTCATTTTTATCCTAGGTAACTTATCATTTTTTAATTCTTGTCTCCGAATGTTTTACGTAATTGCGTACATAATACCATGTGATTAATAGCCTCCATAAATTTACCAGTATCGTCGTTTTTTTCTCGTTCGTGCGTAATAAATTATTTCGATGCGGATACTTATTTTTGGGACACGGCATGTCAACGACGCCCAAGAATATTAGCAAATTGAATTAAAAGCATGCCCATAATCTGGCGTTTATAAAATTAGCCATCAAATATTTACGAAGATCCTCTTCCGCGGATGTTTGCCTCCAGAAGGTTTACTCTGATGGCAACTTTATTGTGTGTATTTTGATTCATTAATTATAATGTAAAACATTTAATTACCCGTTGTCATGCTGAATTTTATTCGTAATTGTTTGATGAAAAATTAAATCTCCTGAATCTTTTACCCTTTCAATTAAGCTGTTTTTTGTATCTGCAATAAAATAATTGTTTAAGACAAAGTTAATTGCGTAGGATTATATACATTTCACTCAAAGTAGAAACATATAATGAGTGCTTACTTAAAGTAGAATATAATTCTAACCTCATATTATCATATATTAATTCATAAAGGTATGCCGTGAAATGTTAAAATCTTATTATTTCATAGTATTGAAATAAATATTTTTAGCCTTAAATATATTACTAAACTTGTTTTACATTAATATTTACTTACATAATTTTTTAACATATCAATTTTGTGTGCAATTGCGACGTCAATTTTTTAATTATACTATTCAGAGACGGGGGGGGGATTATTTATGCTGAAAAACTTAAATATGATTTTAATTATCAACTACAATTTTAGGATACAATAAAAATCAGTTTTTTTTTAATTAGTAAAAAAATAAGAATTATGTTTTTCCACCTTATGCCTTGTATAAAATTCTGTTCAATTTTCTTCAGAATTAACTTGAAAAATTATCACTTGAGCCTGGTAGTTGAAAAGTTCGTATTCATAATTTTTGCTCATTTTCGTGAAATTGAAATTAAATGTGACGAGCTTATTTAACTTGCTATTTAAATATTATTTGGGAATTTACTTATTTATAACGTATGGTTTCAAATAAGCATGCTCGTTATAATGTGATATATATCATTGTCAGATATTTGATAGGTAGTTGTAATTTTCTTACCAAGTAACTAGTAAGTATTTATCCGAGACAATCCGAGATAAATAATGCTTTTAGAAAAACCCGGGACACAAGGTGGAAGTCCGGGAGTGCCCCGGCCAAACCGGGACGTATGGTCACCTTTATTAGCAATTGGAAAATAAAGACTTTGTGCAACCTAATCTAGTTCTTCAACATAATCATAGATAAACAAGTATAAATGATCATAATCACTGCCACGTTCTGCACAAGTTACAAAGTTTTTCTTATATTTAATTAAGGGGGTATTCTACTGTAGAAGCATGAATTTTGCCCGGTTTTTGAAGCGCTGTATAAAGGAAACAAATGATATTTTTACTATCGATTTTTTTATCATTTGTTTATTGATATTTTATTATTACATAAAAAAAAATATTAAAGAAAAAAATTAGAATTCACAAAGTTATGAGCAGTCAAAGTGGGAGCTCAAAAAAAAAGAGGGTGTCCTGGCGTGCATGATTCCAACCCTCCTGGTGATCCGAAACATAAAAAAAAGATGGATTCTTAATTATTATAGATGTCGCTATCGTATGAACCTTGGATAAGCCAAAAAAAAATTTTTTGTTTGAATGGCGGCAGTTTGAAAAAAAAAATTTTTTTTCATGTTTTTTTAACAATTCCGAATTTTTTAAAAATACTAAATGAAAAGTTATAGTTTTGGTAGAGGTCCATGCGATAAAGCAATGTATAGAGAAGATCCTCTCCAAATTTGAAGTAAATCGGTTCATTAGAACTCGAGATATCCTTACCGCCAGCTCGAAAAAAGTAGTTCCGAGAAAAACGCGTTCAAAGTTTTGAGACTCGGTCGGACCCGAACCGAGACCACGTCAATAAAGCGGCTATAACTCAGGAAATAATAGTAATTTTGAAAAATCCTTTTAATGACATATTTTTGAATAACTAAACTTTGAAAATATGAAAAAAAAAATTTTCGATTTTTTCAAAATTCTACAGTAGAATACCCCCTTAATATATAATATAATTTTAACTTAATATTTAACATTTAAAATTTAAGTATTATTATAATTAATAAAACTAATGTTGTCGATGAATGATTTCATCGCTAACAAACCCAATTAAATTTTACAAACGTTGCAATACTAAGAGCATTATTATAACACTGGTGCAAACTCTATATACAAAATGAAATGATTGTACAACCTTGTTCCGATACATTGAACGAATATTTTATATATCTCACTCTATGCATCGTTTTATTCTATTCCGATAGCCTAGAAGTATAGATATCTATTCAAAGTCTTATAAAATATGTTCTTCAGCTCCATAGAAACATGTACAACAACTAAACTAACTTACATACATGTTTCCACATCTTAGTTTATAGAGGCACTATCAGCTATTGTGGCTGACTATGAGTTTCATTCTGTATCAATCTGCATGTATGTACGGTTACGTATTCACAAATGCATCCGATGCAAGATATGAATACGATACCATAAATTTACTGAATAATATATATATATATATATATATATATATATATATATATATATAAATATATATATATATATATATATATACCTAAATGGGCGTGGGAGTAGATTTGTATGCATACAAAAAGCTCTTGTAGAAAATTCACGGCTATACATTTCCATTTCTATTCTTCATACGGAATGTAGTCATTTCTTCATAGAAATTTCAAAAGCTACATTATAATATGAATGAATCATAATAAGAAATGTATACATGTATAGATAATACTTTTATTGGTTGCTATCCTTTAAGGAAACACTTTTATCTTCTTTAGGAAAACACCGTTCAGGTCAAATAATAATAGATTTATGGCAGTGATTATCTAATAGTGATTTTATCGAATCCTTTCTGATTCCGAAATATTTTAAATATGGATAAATATTGAGCCAAATGTAAGCAATAAATTGTACCTTGATCAGAAAAAAATTATCCGGTAGAGAGAACCTTGGTTGAAGCTCTAAATACATAGACTTTTAAAGTAACTTATATTTCTGATACTAAGATACTTAATTTCTGAATACTGATAAAATTCTAAAGTAGAATATAAGCAAAACTTTAACTTGCGCAGGGCGTATAGAAAACTGGAGTAGGTTGCTTTTTAGTACATTGGGTAAAAAAGTGATACTCAGTGCTGGATTAACCCATAGTCCCGATAGGGCCGGGCCTGGGGCGCCACAATTTGGCGGGCGGCCATTTTTTCAGAATTTCAAAATTTTTAACTAGAGAAAATGTCGAGACAATTCATTTTAAGGATTGATTCTGATCTGGATTTATAAATTTATGGGTCATTTTCTATGAAATAGAGTAATTCATTTTCCAATTATACTTATTATTCTTGGGACTCATATTGATAATTTTATTCATGTAATGTATGTTTAAAATAAAATTTATCAAATTGAATAAGCTTTTTTGGTGAAATATTGAAGCTCTGTTTATTTTTTGTAACTTTGTCAAGGCGAAAAACCATGGCAAATTAACATAATATATAAATTGTTATTTAGTGATCATTTAAAATTCATTTATTTGTTCGGATATAAAAATATTTTTCCCTAAAATTCCCAATATAGGTCAATATTGGTCAATATCGCCCAATATTGGCCAATATCGGTCAATATCGGTCAATATCGGTCGACATTGGCCAATATCGGTCAATATTGGTCGATATCGGTCAATATTGGTCAATTTTGGTTGATATTGGCCAATATTGGTCAATATGGGTCCATATCGGTCAATATTGGCCAAAATGTCACTATAGTATACAATGTCCTTATTACGGCTGACAATTGTATATTCTACAAATTTTTTAAATGTTCTTAACTGGACAGTAAATATAATTGTGAATAAAAAAAAAATGTAAACTATTATAGAAAAATATCTGTTGAATGCAACCTAATTTTCCAATTTCACTTGTCTTTCTCCCTTCAAATATTGGTAAAAAATGCCTAACTTTATTTGTTTTGAGATATCAGCGGTGGACCTTTACACCCGTGGACCTTCTACCCTATAAATAATGGCTTATAAATATATATATATATATATATATATATATATGACAATAAAAACTTGAATATATTTTAACTGAATTTAATAATTTGAGTCTAAGCAATATATTTCTACTACCCCTAGATTTAAGTTGAATTGAGGTTCCATAGCGCAGATGTAAGTTATAAGAAGCACTCTCGCGCCTTGATTACGATGCATTTGCACACCCGAGTGTAAAGTGTGTTCATGGATGCGAGATAATATACAATCCGCAATCTTATACTGCCACATTCTTTTGACACATACTTTGCGTTAGGTTTTTGAAAATAAAAAGCTGTTTCCTAGAAAAGCTAAACTCTCTTAGGAGTTGCTTTGAAAAATCAATTTGTTACGAGCATGTTTTATATCAGAGGCTTTAAGTTGGAATCCAATATAACCAGTAACAGACTTAAAATAGTATTTGAATGAGTTAAATAGTTCGAGACTTTACATAAAATTTTCTAGTATTGTACACATATTTAATTTTAATTTTGTTTGACCTATTATCATCAGTTTAACTTAATAAATTGAGATGATCTTTCTTACGAATCTTTAAGATTTATTTATTTATTTATTATATTTTATATAGAGTACAGCGGGGCTTAATAGTTTGCAGGTAAAAAGATCCATCATCATTAGCTCAAAAACGACTACAGTAAGGAAATTTTCAACAACAATATTTGATATAGGGCAAAAAATGTATTTACCACCAGTTATCGCCCTAATTATTACAACAATGTGAAAAACCATAACAAAAGTATTTTTTTCCGTTGTTAGTTTTTTGGGTTCTGAGCACTGTTGTTCAGTTTGCGAAACCTTAATATGTTTATATATTATATAAGATATATTAATTGTAAGTTAGATTCATCACATTTCTTTATATAACCTCTATGAAAGCTTACACATCTGTGAGATAAAAAGGACCAAAGTGTAACCAATAAAAAATAGTAAATAAAGAAGTAAATTAGGTTAAAAAAGCAATATTGAAAGAGGTAAATTAAATAAATATTCTAACTCTGCTAATAAATATTTCGGATAAAATAAAAATCAAGTGTCATCTTTGAAAAAAATGTACCCATATTTTGGATTGGTTGCCCCATTGATTCGTGAAATTCTTTTAAAATTAAAAAAATAAGACGTTGTACTTATTTGCTGCTGGCCTACCCCGCTTGTGGGGTAAAAAGACCAGGTCACGATTTTTTTAAAAAAAGTTTTACTGAAAGATGTTTGTTTGGTATGTGTTATTTGTTGTGATATTTGTTCTTGATTTGGTTTTCACAATAAAATTGCTCACGGTCAAATTGGACTTTTGTGACTTTATTTATATATAAAATATAATTTTTTCGTGCATTTTCGTGTGTTTTTGTGTTTTTTTTTCAAATTTATTTGTATGGTGAGTTTCTTTACATTTGTTTATTCTATGTTTGTTTTTTATTTTTATATACATTCACAATATATATTAGTTATAAAACAAATTTATTAAATTGGTTAGATTTATGCTTTTTTATATGTTTTTATTTATATTTTTCCGTAACTATGTATTTTTTATATTGTTTTAAATTGTAACCCTGAAATATTTAATTGTAGCACTGAAGATGGGTCAAATCAAATCCCGAACCGTATGTTTTCTTAATAAAAACATTTTCTTTCAATAAAACTGTTTTTAATTACTGGATGGATGCCCAAGAACCATTTTATTATATATGTATATATATATATATATATATATATATATATATATATATATATATATATATATATATGATTGAGCATAACACTAATTGAAGACCTTGACAATTAAAAATTGCAATAAACTGAGATAGAAACGGTTAATCAGTTGATAGTAATATTTATACAAAAATAGTTTCCTATATCTACTGAATAATAATGGTCTTACAATAGAACGAAACGTGTGGACTCAATAACTTTGTAATCTTTAATAACCAAAGATTTTGGTCAGGTTCATGCTTTAGTATCTTGTATATATATATATATATATATATATATATATATATATATATATATAATGTGTAAATTAATTCATTTTTAATGTTAAATTAATTTATATATTAGTAATCAATAACAATTATCATTCTAGTTCATGTTAAATTCATTCTGAATAAGTGTTAAAAAAATGAATAAATAATTAATCGATTAAATATTACTAAAAAAATTAGAATTAAAAATTCTGAGAGCTAATCGATAAGTATCGTATCGTGTAAAACGGTATCGTTTTACAAACGATAAATACGTAAATTTATTTAATCCGTTACTTATCGTTATTAATTTCGACAATTTATCATTATCCTAATTATCATAATACCTTATAAAATATATTTTTATATTTATTTCTGTGGCCTGTTTAACGCAAACAATTCCGTGTTAGGTTTCGGCGCGGCTTCAAGCAGTTCTTTTCCTGCTGCCCGTTCGTGCACGTCAGCCCCGAGGCCCTGACAAGACGCGAGGTAGTCACTTCGCGGTATTCCTGCTCCGGATCTCCTGACAGGCACAGGATAGTACGAAATGGTAAGTTGCAACTAGAATTTATGTACCTTCGCTTATGTATCAACGGAACGATTTTTTTGTATAGATACCCATTGTTATTCTGTAAAGAAATGAATTATTGGGTCCATATTCAAAGGGGTAAGAATTTAAGTCGTTTTCTATGCATTCGGTGAAGTACAATCGAAAATAATTTTTTTTATATATCTTTACGTTTCAGAGGTTTTTGAACATTTTGGCATATCTTACTTGTTAGAAAAAATGAATGTTTATGTGTGTGTGTATGTGTGTATGTGTTCGGATACAAATTTTCGTTGGCGATTCTTGGAACACTGTTCAATCATTTTAATATTTCTGAAAAGATTCGATTCACAATGATAAGGAAACGTGCTGATTAGCAATGGCATATGGCATATCTTAGAAAAAATGAATGTATATATGTGTGTGTGTGTTTGGATACAAATTTTCGTTGACGATTTTGGGAACAAGGTTCAACCATTTTAATATTTCTGAAAACATTCGATTCATATTGATAAGAAAACGTGCTGATTAGCAATGGCATATGGCATATCTTAGAAAAAATGAATGTATATGTGTGTGTGTGTTCGGATACAAATTTTCGTTGACAATTTTAGGAACACGGTTCAACCATTTTAATATTTCTGAAAACATTCGATTCAAATTGATAAGGAAACGTGCTGATTAGCAATGGCATATGGCATATCTTAGAAAAAATGAATGTATATGTGTGTGTGTATGTGTGTGTATTCGGATTTGTATTCGGATACAAATTTTCGTTGACGATTTTGGGAATACGGTTCAAACATTTTAATATTTCTGAAAACATTCGATTCATATTGACAAGGAAACGTGTTGATTAGCAATGGCATATGGCATATCATAGAAAAAATGAATATATATATATATATATATATATATATATTGATTTGCTCATTTTGGATTGACATGGGGGGCAGGGGAGTCTGGATGATGATTACGTCATAGGTAGTATTTTTATATTTTTACATTAATTGCAAAATGTTTACGTAAGCATGGAGGTAGGGGGTAAGAGCTTTGCTTACTTTTGCGGACAAGGGGGATGGGGCGGTAAATAATTGTAATAAATCTGCTTACGTAATACTTGAATGATCCCCTAGTGTTATTTTGATTTTTCTTATTTCAATGAATAATTCAAGATTGTCATCCTTCTTGAACCAAATACTTTTATCAATCAATATGTTCTTAAAATATACATATATTATATACTAGCTGGCCCGGCAAACGTTGTTTAGCATACAAAATATTTCTAAAGAATCTTTATTATAAAAAATAACTAACTGTATATGAATGTAGAAGTGTGTGGAGAAAGAGGCAACTAATACAAATTAAGTGGATGGTTTACCCACTGTAACCCATGCAACATATAAATGCTCTTTGGGCTTATTTATAGGCATTGCAAGTGCCATCCTAATCTAAAACTGATTTCATTTAAATTGAATTTTGGAACATTTTGGTATTTAAGATAACCTATCACAAAAAATACAAAGAAACCTGTTTATAATCATACTTGTTATTATTTTTTATTTCTATCTTATTTAGCAATGTTTTTAACTTATTATTATGATAATAATAAATTAAGTTGATTAGATTATCAAATATCCCCATCTATGTAAATAAAGAATTTTCATTCTAAAATTTTCCATTTAAAACCCAGAGATTTATAAGAATGGTATTCTGAAAATCAGAAACTGGGGATTATGAACTTTGCGTTAAAATATTAAAGAAAATGAGGGTATTGTCTTGATCTCTTAATCTCTTACATATGTTTTTAAATGTAGAAAGCTAAAACTTATCAAATTTTCATCATAACAGTGTTTACTATATTTCAGTACCATATTTTTCTTCAGCGTTGAAATACTTGAAATTATTTATTCTATTATTTATCGTTTTTAATTTCGTTTTTTCGATTCGTATAGTTACGAATATATATATATATATATATATATATATATATATATATATATGTACAGCATATATATGTACATATATCCATAATGTAATATAAATTGATTTTATTTTAATAAACTATGTAAGCTTTTTTGCAACATCAAAAATACTTGATACATCTGAGTTTACAGATCTATTGAAATTTTAATAATAAATAACAAAATCTATACACGTTCCAAGTTATTATATTTCAAATAAAAATGAATTAAGTTGAATCTTAGCATTTTCTACTGAACTTCTATTACATGTCTTGTTAATTGAAATATTGCTTTTAATATGTACGCATAAGCTTAATCCAATAACAAAAATACGACGTTATAAATTTTTATTATAAATCTTATGAATATACTATTTATTTGTGAGGCAATATATTATGTCAAAATAATGAGCACGTGCTCAGAAATTGCACCAAACCTTTATTGTTAGATTCTCCGAAGCATTTGCAGTATTTGTAAAATTCTCCGAAAATGATATGATAGAGGAAACTAATTTCTTAAATTATTTTTATAATAATTTATCATATAATAACACACACACACACATATATATATATATGTGTGTGTGTGTGTTATTTGCATGTGTCATATGTCGATTACATTATTTTTATTCATATAGCTAAGTATTCCATGACTCCTATTTATGGTCAATTTATTATAAAAGTGTAATAAACATTATTGATATTGTTTCTGCCAATAAAGCGCCCCACAAATAGATTTTATTGATATGCGAGTTATATCCCTAATAAATATTAATCTTTGCATACTTTTTGCGGTACTCACTCAAGGAAAAATGTAACAACTGATAAATGGAATAACAGGTACAAATAAAAAAGTTAAAATTATTTGAAGTCCAAACTTAAATTTTTAAATAAATATTATAAGAAATATTATTATTCCATATAATCTTTATAAGAACTTACATGTGGTTGGGGTAGAAAGGATCAACTGAATTCTTGCGCTGGCAGAGGAGTAAACAATAAAAAACCGTAACTTAAAGTAAATTAAGTTAAAGAAAGCATTTTTACAAAAATTAAATTAAATTATTAATTATTCTAACTCTGTTGTTGAATTTTTCTGACAAAATACCAGCATCAGGTAATATACAGTGTTATATAAAACTGTAACATAAAAGATTATTTTTCAAAAATATACCCCGCTCTACCCTACATCAGGTTTTTTATTAAATATGTATTTGTTGCCTATCAAAATAAATATAATTGATATATGACTTTTGTGAATATGTTCATATGCACATGTTATCATTCATATGTTCATAGATATTGGTCTTGAAGTACATCTTCTGAATTTTTAGCTTATAACAGCATTTCTACAGAATGTTTCCACGGTTTATTACACATATCTTTGACATATTTCACATTCCTTTTTCTATATCATACTTTTGTATCTCGACTGTTAACTCATGCGAATCATATTCATATATAGATTTTTCCATCACAATATTTTAAAACAGATAAATGTAAAAATAATATATAATGAATGATTGTCGCTCGAATAATTGATTAGAAGTGTTTGAGTTTCATTTCTTATATTAATTTGGCAAATTAAAAAATTATTAAAAGGTTAAATGTGCTTCAAGTGAAGCTATTCAAAATTAGATTAGTTTTAGCCACCTTATTCAAAATTAGACTAGTTTTAGTAACGTTTTCACAACTGTATAACAAAAAAAGGCCATAATAAAAATCGTGTCAGATGTTGAGCGTCATTGTCACGGTCTTGTCGCAGTAGTCAGTTTAAACGTGTTATACGCCTCCAAAAGCTTATTTTGAAGGTGGTTTTGTCATGTTTTTTTAGCTTTTTAATTGTTATTTGTAATTATTTCTATTACATCACATTATTACATCACACATCATACAGTACACAAAATACTATCGATACCAAATTATCAATACGAATCATGCTGAATAAAATTTTTTAAATTGATTCATATTTGTTTTCTACTTACATTATCATTTATTAAAATTTAATAATAATCATATGTTTCTACAGCAACAAGTCAACGCATGCCACAACCATTCTCGAGAAAACAATCTCGGTTTAAAAACTTTTAGCGAGTTTATGAAGAACAACTTTCCGAATCTGATTTTCATAATGGAAAATTTAATCGATCTACGAAACTCCTACAAATATTTGCAATCGACATTGTCATGTTTGTATAATTGTCGGTTTTATTTCTTTCTTAGAGTTCTCACAGAATTCTAAATTAATTTAATCTGGTTTTCATTGAACGAATGACAATTTCCGACGGCACCAGTTGGTTAAGTCTAATTAATGTCATTGAATTTTGGGTGGAACATATCGATTTTCTTGTCTGAGCAGATTATGATAGTAAACCGCCAACTTGAAAGCATTGAATTCTTAATTGAGACTGAAATTTGATGAAATATTGCTATTGAAACTGAATATAATTCGAATATTTTACTAGTAATAATTTTGAGATTATTATATTATATTCGATTGTATGCAGTTGAATTGGTAAAAGCTCGATCCATTTCATTGGCTTCTCAAACGCATTACTTACAATTATCTTTTTGAGAATATGCATATATTATTGCCTACCATAAAATAAAACTATTGGTGTATGGCATCGTGCCTTAAGGCAAATTGCTGGAACTTCCCGTACCGTAACAAAATGTTTGAGGTATATTGAATGTTTTCAAATAGATTATTATAAATAAATACTGTAACATTGCCTAATATTTATAAGAATTATATAAACTGAATGGCAATGTTAAAATTATTTATTTATAGTAAATAAGTGAGCTTTGGAACTTTAGCAAGAATTAAAATTAAAATCTGAACTGTTTTCGATATACAAAAATAATTTTTTTGATAGAAAAAATAATTTTTCTTTCCAAAAGCAATTGTTTCGTCAATACAAGCAGAAAGTTTTTTGAATAATTCGAATCGGATGATTAGTTCTCTCAAGAACTGCCTTTTTTTATACATTTATTTTGAGGTATGCCAGAATGTTCAGAAACCTTCAAAACGTGAAGATAT